GGGAGATTGTGTATCCGGAGAACAACAGGGAGATGCTGCCGAAACTCTAGCACGGATCGGAGTAGAGCATGGAAACTAACCGCATCTACACATCCTCGGGCTGTCCAAAAAACGTGGACAATTCGAAACAGATACGGTTATAGATATGCAAAGATCTGCATATTTCCAACCGTATCTTTTTCGAACGGGAGATGCCTAGCTAGGTTACGTGATATATGAACATGATACGGAAAGAAGGGTCTTTTATGCCTCACCTTACTGTCGTGCAAAGTGACGAGTCGAGGACGTTGCAATAGCCTCTCCTGCAATAAAAGAAACATAATAGTGTCAAATCTAAATTTCGGCAGCACCTCCCCTGCACAGGGAGGTTTCCAAAACCTGCAGCAAATAAAACGACATGATGGCCGACAATCACATACACTCGGCAACAAACGGCACAATGGCTGATAACCACATACACATCTTATACCTTGCAAAACGACGACAAGTTGTGGGGCGGCGGGAGGGCAAGGCGGAACCAGGCGGCAGGGCGGGGCAGGGAGAGGTGGCAAAAACCTGCAAGTTGAAAATAATAGAGAGCCAAATGCATCCGGTCAGTAAGTGTATAGCGAGATCATTAAAAGAATGGCAATCATTGACATGGAAATATGCTCAAGTTAATAGTACAACATCACTGTTTGCTGAAGTGATGTTGCTTATATGTGTGTGTCTAGTTTTAACAATTTCGACATATGGAGATTGGAAGAGCTAGCTAGCATGGTTCTTGTGCCTTATCTCCTAGGCAGCATGGGATGATGCAAACATTATTTTCATTTGAGCTTTTACAGATCCAACAAATCACAGAGACACAGGCATCCATTGTTGCACTGCAATTTTTTGCTTTCAGTGGTAGTTGCAGGCTTGCGGTCTTGTGGCTGTGGGTTAATTTTTTTGCTTAATTGTTCTCTGGATTTTGAAACAATTTTGTTTCTATAAAAAAACGGCCTTCCCATTTTTTTCGCATCGCTCCCAAATCCCATACCCATATACTCTGACATGACTACAGGAGTACGTATAGAACACTAAGCTACTGATGTGTCTGGTGGTTCCATTCCTAGGTCGTCCTAGTGAATTTTTCAAAAATAAAAAATCATGCTACTCATAGACTGCTAGTTAAAGTTGTTTTTTTTATTTACTTCTTTTAAAAGGAGTGCTAGTTAAAGTGATGCTATCTTCTTTGCTTTCCTCACTGTTTCTATCACGCTTAACAAATTGATGCCTAAATTAGTATAGACGCAATGTTTAATTCATGCCTCATGCTGTAGAACATGATTCCTATACTAGCATAGGAACAATGTTTAATGTCACATTTGCACATTTCCATCACTCCTTCTTGCACTATTCATGAATGCATACAACAACATGCAAGTTTCAGACAACCATTCACTGACAAGAGTCTGAAACTCTGAATAAACAGATTACAAATGTAGTCATTCAGATTCAGGGAACCTAATGTTCTGCCAGATAAAGTTTGCACATTTCCGTCATGATGAGATCAACAAGCTAACAAGATAAAAGAAAGCACGCACGGCGCTGGGCTGCTTCTCTGTTCCTTGGTCGCCGGAGCAGAGGTGCACGGCAGCACCATGGCCATCTACGGCGCTGCTTGGGATCGAGCTAGGGACTATGACAGACGGAGACAGGAGGCGCAAAACAGAGCGAAGCTCACCGAACTCAGGCAGGCTCTCCTCGGTGCTTGGTTCAGAGCGGAGGGGGAGGCAGCCGAGATGAGGCGGACGGTGACGATGAAGTGTTCCGGTGGGCTCGCGATTTCTCGTAACACGCCGTGATCTTTTGGAAATAAAGGCAGGGTGTGAATCTCCGGGACGAGGAGAATCCAGTAGAGGCGAATATTGAGCAAGAGATGGACAAACCGCGGAGAACGATGACGGCGAACGGAGCTCGGCAATGGCGTCGCGGAGCTCTGCTGGGGGGAGGGCGGCGGCGGGCTGGGCGGCGGTGGGGTCCTAGGGAGGCCGGCGGTCGGGGCACAGGGCGGGGCGGCGGCGGCGGCGTGTGTGAGTGCGTGAGTGTGGGTGGGCGCGTGTGTGCGTCAGGGGGGTGCGGCCAGTGGTAACATATGAAAGGTATGCCGAGTGCCCCCGATCTGGGCACTCGGCAAAGTAAATATATGCCGAGTGTCCACATTCGCAGCACTCGTCATTGTTTTTTATTATTTTCAAACCATTCGGTACTGCGCAGTGGGGCCGGATCAACAAAGTTGCCGAGTGTCCCCTGTACGACACTCGGCAACTATTATTTTTGCCGAGTGTCAGGTAGAGAACACTCGGCAATTTTTTTTTATTTCATGCTGCACCGTCCTCCTTCTTCATAGCGTGTTCTGCTAAATTTGTTATGATGGACTTTGAAAGTACCTTGTCAAATTCACTTAACAATGCATATTGAATATTATTCCATTATTTCATGCAGTTACAGCTCAAATTCAATTTATATCAATTAAAATTCTATAATTGCAGTTAATAAATTAAAATTATCAATCGGATACGAAAAATTCCCAAAATTCGACATGGAACAATATATGTTGTCTGTTGCCTATACAAAAAGTTTTAAAGTCAAACCCCAATTCAGACCGTCACATTGACTCCAAATCTTACCTGATCCTTCTCAACTCCCTGATTCTTCTTCGGAGATGCTTCGGTTTGTAAGCGTCGTACGTGACAAATTGTGCGAAACCTTCTCATTTTTTCCAGTCTCCACGTATGATATCAGGAGATCTTGACAAATCTCGTCATTTTCAGACTTCATTTGTTTTTTTAGAATTTAAAAATCATTCGGCCACACGTTCGTGATCGTGTTTCCTTAACAAAATGTTCGAAATTTCTTTTCATTTCCCGGGTATGGACCCAAAATGGACTCAATAACATGAATATGATTTCTCCACTTAATTTATTCCATTATTTGAATCACTTGTAGTTCAAATTTGACTTTAACCAAAAAATTTCTCTAAATGCAATAAATTAATTAAATATAGCAAACAGATCGAGAAATATACCAAATTTTAACATGTAGTACCACATGTTGTATGTGGACAGTAGAAAAAGTTTGGAGGTCAGGAGAGAAAAAAAATTATTATTTTACCGAGTGCCAATAAAAAACACTCGACAACAAGATTATTTTGCCGAGTGTCAATAAAAAACACTCGGCAAACCTTATCTTTGCCGAGTGTCCATTAGAGGCACTCGGCAAAGTTCTAACGGTAGGGCGACGCACCCAACAGCCGTCACACGGCCGCCGCACGCCCAGCGCACGTGCCTGTACTTTGCCGAGTGTTCGTGTTTGCCGAGTGTTTCTGTGTAGTTTGCCGAGTGTTTTTTAGTAGACACTCGGCAAAGTTGGGTTTTGCCGAGTGCTATATGTTTGCCGAGTGTTTAATTAAAAACACTCGGTAAATATGATATTTACCGAGTGCCCGATAGAATGCACTCGACAAACCCTCAGGTAGTCGGCAATTATACTGTTTCCGGTAGTGACACCATCGAGCCACACCACTACCAAGTCGATTCACCACGATCGTCACTGCTTGTGCCTTTGCCAATAAAAAACGATGTCTCACACCTAGCAAGCAACTACCATACAGAGCAATCCGCAGCAGGTCGCTGCAAGCTGTCTAGTTGCTGAACCAATGTTGCCGCTTGCGCCTATCTGTCGACATTGTCCGCACCGGACCATCCTCTGCAAGGATAGCTGCCGTAGGCCGCTGCAAAGCACGAAACCGATGCATGAACAACAGCATTCGGTCGGCGACTATGTAGCTCCTCGCATCCATGTTGCCTCGCTAAAGATCAGACACATCAAACCGGCCGCCTCGAACAACCAATCTAAAGGCATCCGCGCAAGCCAAAGCAATAATGCGGTTCTATTATTAAGCCATCATGTGCCGCGTCGATCTCTTGCCAACTTTGTGGGCACCTCTAGTGTGCATGGCGCCACCTTGCCGTTGCTCAACAACTACCACTCAGGAGCTCGGCCGCTAAGCTGTCTCACCATTCACGGACTCATCGCTGCATCCAAAATATTGCCTGTGTCGTCCTCATATATCCACCAATATTACCGCGGGCGCCACGGCACAGCCAACCCCTAAATTACGACCTCAGCCACCGAGGTCCTAACCTGTTTCTGTAGATCCTCAACCCTGTCCCCGTCCGCTCTCGTCCAGAGCCTTGGCTTGTCTCTGTCCCTACCGCCCCGAGGATCACCGTCCCCGTCTCCGCCCTCGCCCCTCCTCTCCATCGCCCCACAGCGAGCTTCGCCAAATCCCTGTCCATTGCCTCGGTTTATGAAGACAATTTATCTTGATAACTTTGAAGACAGATTACGATCTGACGATGATGATGACTTATGAATGATTGAGAAGTATCTATTTTATATATTGTAGATGGATCAGGATCAGAACTATACATATGTTTTATGTCCTCTTGCGACCATACTCTGTCGCAGTGCTAGCTGACATATATATAGTAGCGCAGGCCGCAGGGCAGTTGCTGCGTTGCAGAGATGTGGACGTCCGGAGAGAAGCATGCTCTCGTGTATATAACAGTTCAATCATGGCAAAGGCTCTAGCTCCATCCAGCAAATTTATTTATTCTTCAATTTTGTTTTCCAAACTCCTAGGAAAATTTAAACTGCAAATTGACGTGTTTAGGGCGAAGTTGTCAGATTTTTATACAACCACTAGGTCGTACCAATGTAGCCCATAAATATGTACCCAGCAGAGAGATACCGGCGCCAAGACTACTCCACTCTTGAGACGACAGTAGCTGTAGTGTGGTGGCAGCGAAGCTTGTTAGTTGTGACTGATGATACAGCTCAAGCTGCAGCAGTAATAATAAGACACCATACTACTGCAAGTGGTAATAAGCATCATGCATGCATGTCTCTTTGCTTCTTCCCTATATGTGATTAGCTGTGTGATACTTATTACTGTAAGTGATTGACGCCAGCGATGGAGATGCAGAAGATGAGCCGTCGTCGCAGTTGTAGCTGTACCTGGGCCAGCGTAGCGGCGCTGTTGATCATCTTTTGGTACTGCGCTTATTGTGCCACTGCAGCGGCTGCGGCGGTGGCAATGGCGGCCACAGGTGGAGGAGGGGCGGAGCAGCATCAGCTCGGCGACGCCAAGTACAAGGACCCGAGAAGATTGTGTTAGAATAATCTACTGTTTTCCTTGTGTGAACACAGTAAGGGAAGGCGGCGCAGAAAAGCCCCCCTGCTGTGATACTGTAACCGCTGCAGGTGCAGGCGCCGCACGGCTCACCTGCAGCACCGTAACCACATGCAGAGGCCGGCGCAGAGTCAGCCCTATATGTTATCTAGTCACTGTTGCAGCAGGGCAGATGTACTGGGACTAGATTGATAGAGTTGTATAAATAGACTACCACGACAACTCAGTTAAGAGAGTTCAGATTTGCCATCACCCATACAGGGCTTCGGCCAACGCTGGTGTCTTGTACTGTGTGTATCTGTTCTCCCTCTTCTTCAACCTCTAGCCATAGTGTGTGGGGACGGACAACGCTTGTTCGTGGTCGGCACGGCTAGTGGATGCTCGGCAACACTAGCGGGTGCTCGACAAGACTGGTGAGTGGTTCACTCACCTGAGCCGGTGATCCTGTGGGCCAACATGTGGTATCAGAGCTGTACAAGCACCGTCGCCAGACTAACCGCTAGCAATGACGGGCGGTTCGGAGATGGGCGACAACAGTGGCACTGCTGTGGCTGCCCAGCCACGACCGGAGGTCGTTGTTCGCACGATGTGGGAGGTCAGTGGCACCAGTTGGCCGATGCCGACTCGCACCAACTATGGAGAGTGGTCGATGACCATGAAGGTCAAACTCAGAGCCCAACGGCTCTGGAATGCTGTTGACAATGACACCGACAATGAAGAAGATGACATGTCAGCATTGGAGGCTATCATCGCTGCTGTACCGGCGGAGTACAGGGAGCCGTTGGGGGCAAAGAGCTCTGCTAAGGAGGCGTGGGAGGCTATTGCGGCGATACGCGTCGGTTCCGACTGCGCAAAGAAGTCGACGACCCAGCTTCTGAAGCAGGAGTACGCCAACCTCAAGTTCAAGGATGGTGAAATGGTGGAGGACCTCTCCCTCCACTTGTAGACGCTTATCAGCAAGCTGAAGAGCCATGGCGTCACCATAGACGAAGAGGAGGCGGTCTCCAAGTACCTCCACTCTGTGCCGGCAAAGTACATCCAGATCGCTCTCTCCATAGAGACGATGCTGGACTTGTCCACCCTCACCATTGAGGACCTGACAGGCCATCTGCGGCAGTGGACGAGCGCCTAGAGCAGGCGATAGCAACGAAGGACAGTGGCAAACTCCTGCTGATGGAAGAGGAGTGGGCTACTCAGAGGAACTCCGGAAAGGCAGCCTCCTCCAACCGCGGTGGCAATGGCAACCGCCATGGTAGGGCTTCTTCGGAGAAGAAGCAGGTCGACCCCAACGCCTGTTGGCGCTGCGAGAAGATGGGCCATTGGGCATGGGAGTGCCCAAACCACAAGCAGGAAAAGAAGGCTCAGGCTCATCTGGCGCAAGCCGATGATGAGGATGAGGTCACTATCCTGATCGCGACATTCTATGCACTACACGACATCGAGGCCGAGGAGAGGGAAGAGGCGATGATGGTGGAAGGAACTGGGAAGGCCCTAAAAACCATCAACCTCGACGAACCACGCGCCCAAGTCCACCTCGGACGTGTGGGCGCCAACCAGGAGCAACGGTGGTATCTAGACTCTAGTGCCAGCAACCACATGACGGGCTCCAAGGCATCCTTCTCTGAGCTTGACGACGATGTTACCGGTACGGTGAAGTTTGGTGACGGCTCACGGGTGAAAATCCAAGTGCGCGGCACCATCATCTTTAGGTGCCAGAATGGGGAGCACCGCGCGCTAACGGATGTATATTACATCCCACAGTTGCGTTCCAGCATCATCAGCATTGGTCAGCTGGATGAGCGTGGTAGCGAGGTACTGATCAAGGACGGAGTCCTTAGGATCATGGACCGGGAGCAGCGACTTCTCGCCAAGGTGAAGAGGTCCTTGAACCGGTTGTACCTACTCGACCTGAAGGTAGAGCAGCCGGTGTGCCTGGTGGCAAGACACACCGAGGAACCATGGATGTGGCATGCCCGGTTCGGACATCTCAGCTTTGACGCACTTGGTCGACTGGAGAAGATGGTCCGAGGGCTACCCCACATCAAGCACGAAGGCAAGCTGTGTGACAGCTGCCTAGCCGAGAAGCAGAGGAGGCTACCTTTCCTAAAGGCGGCCAAGTATCACGCGAAGGATGCTCTCGAGCTCGTCCACAACGACCTCTATGGGCCGATCATGCCTGCTACAAACGGTGCTCGGCGGTACTTCCTCCTGCTTATTGATGATTGTAGTCTATATATGTGGCTGCAACTCCTAACAAGAAAGGACGAAGCGGTGGCGGCGATAAAAAAGTTCAAGATGCGCGTGGAGGCCGAGAGCGGCAAGAAGCTCCGAGTGCTGAGGACTGATCGTGGTGGCGAATTCACTTCGGTGGAGTTCGCTGCGTACTGCCCAGATCAGGGTGTGGAGCAACACCACACCGCACCATACTCGTCACAACAGAATGGCGTGGTGGAGAGGCGGAACCAGACGGTGGTCGGCATGGCCCGATCCATGATGAAGGCCAAAGGCATGCCGGCAAGGTTCTTGGGTGAGGCGGTGACCACGGCGGTGTTCATCCTCAACCGCTCTCCAACCATGGCCCTGACGGGCAAGACGCCATTCGAAGCTTGGTATGGGCGCAAGCCGAGCATGTCCTTCCTCTGGACATTCGGCTGCATCGGCCACGTCAGGAAGACGAAGCCGAACCTCACCAAGCTAGAGGATAGGAGCACACCCATGGTGTTCCTAGGCTACGCGGAGGGTACCAAGGCGTACCGGCTCTATGACCCACGCGAAGACAAGGTGCTTGTCTCGCGTGACGTCATGTTCGATAAGAAGGCGGCTTGGGACTGGAGCAATCCAAGCATAGGGGAAGCTAGCAGCTTCACCAACACCTTCGTCATCGAGCACCTGGTCATCCACGATGGTGGAGACGCTGGGGAAGAGGTGCCGAGCACTCCAGGAGGGGTGCCGAGCACTCCAGCGGCAGAGCCAAGCACTCCTGGGGCAGTGCCGAGCACTTCAGGAGGGATGCCAAGCACGCTAGGAGTGGTGCCGGGAGGTTCAATAGTGGTCGCGACCACTCTAGGACGGGTGCCAAGCACTCCCGTGGCAGAGCCAAGATGTCTTGCACTGGTGCCAACCACTCCAAGACTGAGGCTGGGCACTCCTACAGTATGGCCAAACACTGTAGGAGTTAGGAGGAGCTGTCCAGAAGTAGTGCCGAGCACTGCAACCAGGGCGCCGAGCACTCCAGGTGTTGTGCCGAGCACTTTGGCGGAACAGGGAACTCCATCGACGCCGATCGAGTTTGCCTCACCTCCAAGTGACATCACTGAGTTTGTGGATGCCTTCCACAAAGGTGAGGAGGTGTGGTTCCACAGGCTGGATGACATCATCGGTGGCACAGGGCCCTCAGGCCTAGCTGGTCGGCTGCTAAATGACACAGAGCTGCTACTCATCAGTGTTGAGGAACCACCCATGTTCGCGCTAGCCGAGCGCGATGGAAACTAGCGATGGGCGATGCTGGAGGAGATGAAGGCGATCGAGGAAAACGAGACTTGGTAGCTCATCGATCCACCTCCAGGATGTCGTCCGATCAGCCTGAAGTGGGTGTACAAGGTCAAGCGGGACGAGATCGGTGCCATTGTCAAGCACAAGGCACGCCTCGTCGCCCAAGGCTTTGTTCAGCGCGAGGGCATAGACTTCGAGAAGGTCTTTGCGCCAGTAGCACGCATGGAGTCAGTCCGTTTGCTACTAGCATTGGTAGCAGCAAAGGACTGGCACATCCATCACTTGGACGTTAAATTGGCCTTCCTCAACGGTGAACTGGCGGAGACGGTCTTCGTCAGGCAACCTCCAGGTTTCGCCGTCAAGGGAGAGGAGCACAGGTGCTCCGACTACGCAAGGCGCTCTACGGGCTGCAGCAGGCCCCACGAGCATGGAACACCAAGCTTGACGCCACGCTGGGCGAGCTTGGGTTTCAACGGTGCGCAACCGAGCACACGCTCTACACATGGCGATGGGGGATGGAGGAGCTCCTCATCGGCGTGTATGTGGATGACTTAATCATCACCGGCGCGCGCACGGAGGACATCAACAGCTTTAAGATCGAGATGGTGGCTCGTTTTCGAATGAGCGATCTCGGCGCACTCTCCTACTAACTCAACATCGAGGTGAGAGAGGAGAAGGAGGAACTCATGCTCGGTCAGAGCGCGTATGCCTCCAAGCTATTGGAGAGGAGCGGCATGGCTGAGTGTAAGCCATGCATGACTCCGATGGAGGAGCGGCTGAAGCTGACGAAGGCCAGCACCGTGGCGAAGGTGGATGCAACACTCTACCGGAGCATCGTTGGCGGTCTGCGCTACATAGTCCACATGAGGCCAGACATTGCGTTTGTCGTGGGCTACGTCAGTCGCTTCATGGAGGATCACAGAGAGGATCACTGGGCTGCGGTGAAGCGGCTACTGCACTACGTCAAAGGGATGGTGGATCAAGGGATCATTTTCCCAAGACCAGCAGGAGTAGGCTGCAACTCACTATGTTCAGCAATGCAGACATGGCGGGGGACATCGACGGACGACGGAGCACCTCTGGCATGCTCGTCTTCCTTGGGTCAGCTCTAATTTCATGGCTGTCACTGAAACAGAAGGTGGTGGCATTGTCTACGTGCGAGGCAGAGTACGTAGCGGCGGCCACAGTGGCGTGCCAAGTTGTATGGCTGCGCCGGCTGCTGGGCGAGCTCACCGGCGTGGAAGCTCACCCACCAACACTGATGGTGGACAACTAGCCCGCCATCGCCCTTGCAAAGAATCCGGTTCTGCACGACTGAAGCAAACAC